TAAAAAATAATAAGAGGAAAATTAACCCTTATCCAACCTTTTTAGACGCTACTGAAAGATAAATAGGTAAAATTAATTTATTTTAGTATATCCTACGAACTGTAACAATAAAACTGTTATCAAGAATATGCTGCTATAGAAACGGGAGATGATCTTTTTATCAGAGGCGAACAACGAATTTGGACATAAATTTTAATAATTTTTATCTCTAAAAGGAGAACGCTTTTACCTGAACTTTTTTTAACTTTTAGCACTCATACTTTGAGACCAATTGCCGATTTTATTTTGTACGTACTGTCGAAGTTTGTATAAATGAATAAAGACCAGCGAACAGTAAGATAAATGTATATTGCTAGTGACAAGTGTTATGATAAATAAGAATGATAAGAATAGAATATTATGTGACCGTGCGGTCGAGATAGTTGAATGTTAGTTACGAATTGAGAATTGAGAATTGAATGTGTATGAATGAGTTAAGAATTAAGAATGAATGCTACCCTGTGTTCCAAGGTGGGGGTGGCTCTGGCTCCCACCCTTACGGGTGGGGAGGGGTGAAACAGGTCCCCGCCAGAGGCTCTAACATACCCCCCGCCTTGAAACAATTACATTGTTTTAAGACCAAAAATAAACTATATAGAACATTAGAATGAAAACATGATTTAGTAATGTTAAATACAGATGAAATTACATGAATTGGGTGGACATTGTTACAGAAAGCAATGAACCTGAAGAAATGCATTAAACTTTAAAAAAAAGATATCTAAGACAAATTACATTGGTACAATATCAGCGAATACACATTATTTACAATATACCTAAAAGTAAATTTACAACAATTATAATGTACCAAATCAATGAATAATACGATGAGTGAATAATATGGCGAATGAATATAACAATGGTACAAATATGAATACATAGAACATAGTAAAATAAATCAACAATGAGATGTATATAACAAATTGACAAGATGTATGCAATATGGTTAAATAGAATGATAATGCATGCGATTGCGAAATTATCTTTTGCACTTCACCGACACTACACACACCACCACTTCCTTTCCAAAATGATGTTGGAGGGCCGCGTCCTAACCGCCACTGTAGACGCGGAAATTTCTCCTCCTTCACGAGGACCCATCTTGCCATTCCTGGAACGTTGGAAGATGGCCTTTGCCACCCTAACCTGCCTTTCAGTGTGGTCAAATATTCGAGGTACCACGACTTCCAGAAGTGTTGATGGTAAGCGTGGATGAGGTGCCAAGGGATGGCCTGTTGATGGGAACGACGGCGTGGTTTTTTCCTGAGGGACCAGTTGATGGCTGGCCGAAAGAGGCATTGGCCAGGTATAAATGCGACCAAATTATTGCGGTCGCTGGACAGAGGCTTCGAAAGGCGCGAATTCAGGACGGCTTTAACCCTGACAGTGAGCGCATACACGCCCTCGCCCTCAAGATGGTTTTTATCAGTAATTTCGTTATACTTCCGGCTATTCATATTTAAACTTTTTGAACTAAGATTTAAACGGTCAGCAACCACGCAGAGTTTAGTGGCAGAAATGTAAAGATTTAAAACATAATTGTGTTGCAGGTAAATGGAATTATTTAACGAATTTTCGTTAAGTACCTTCAGGTGCACAAGGTCTAGGTACTTCCTTTGAGAGACAATAAAACCCTCGTTATGTTTATGATCACGTCCCTCTGCTAACAATAATAGTTGGAGAGCGAGTTCTGGGGAATTTCCTAATTTAGGTAGATTTTCGAAATAAGGGACTGTGGAATGGCCCAACCTTTTCTCGACTGATAATAGCCAGTTTGGGTGCATTTCTGCAAAATTCTCTAATTGCGGCTGATTTTTCGAAAAGGGGTGTTTGACCATGAAATAGCCATCGGGTGAATGGCCTGTGGTAGTATACTGAAAAGGGGTTGCACAAAGATCGCTTTTAAACCCTTTGCTTAATGACCTGCTTCCGGTTTTGACGGTTTCAACTTCCAAAAACCGAGAAATAATTTGGGCTGAACTAATTTTGTGATGATGGGAAGTATTGTTTTTTAAATACGCAAAATTGCCGCTAAGAATCAACCCCAGCGCGGTATTTTGAAGCACCGGTGGGTTTTTACTGAAATGACTTATTATTTTGGGTATGGCATTTTCGGAATGTTTTTTCTTGTCGAGTATTACTACGTTTGACGCATTGTCTTTAATATTCGAGTCTACGGATTTACATAAACATTGCGATCTACATTTAAATTGATTACAAACTAACAATAAGTCACAGTTTTTCGAATTAACTGTAAGACTTTTTACTTTGTCTAGTGCGGTAGATGACTCTGCATTAGAAGTTTTATCTAAATTAATTTGAGATACGCCTTCGGACTTGTAACAATCATTAACAGGATGATTTTTATCTTCATTCGGTGTTGAATTTGGAAATTTTGAACGATTTGATATTATACTATGAGTTTTTGAAATAACGGAATCAAGAGGGGATTTTTTACCAATAGTGAACCGCAATTTACGTAGAGCATTGAAATGGGTTTTGTGAATTTTGATGGGTTCTCCATTTCTTAATTTGTGTACCTTTAAAGGCTTTAAATTTTGACAAGTTTTTTCCAGATCCGTGGTTGGTACGTTAGTGTTTATCTTACATGAATTCGAGAAAGTACACAATGGATTAGTTTTTTCAATGAGAACATTATATAATTCGGATATTTTTTGAATATAATTTAGCACGTCTCGGATATTATAAATTATAGGCTTGATCGTTTCCGTGTTACTCGTGTCATTCGGGACTACCATTGTTTCGGATTTTTGCTGAACTACCAGCATTTGTAATTCTGAATAAATTCGCTGTACGTCTTCATATCGACGCTTTAAGTGGCCTCTTTTTTGATGATTTGCAACATTTGATATAAAATTAGAATGTGAATCTATTTCGCTGAGAAGAATTGAAAATTTAACAAAAGTATTGTCTTGGATTACCACCATCTTGAGTACGAGAATAATGTATTACACCAACCAAACAGAATTAAAGCTTACCTGGAATCCTGGATTCCTGGATAGAATTATCTTGGCTGACGCTGAATGATACTTGAGGATTTTGCACAGCACTCGCGGTCGTCACCGATAGTTGAACACTGCGCGGATGATTTCTAGGTGATGTTTTGATAAATACTTTGCTGAATTCCAGCCGATGAATGATATGTTGAGAATTACACTTATCACTACCACTGTTATTCTGTCGCTAATCCGGCTCGAAGGACCATGTCGAAGTTTGTATAAATGAATAAAGACCAGCGAACAGTAAGATAAATGTATATTGCTAGTGACAAGTGTTATGATAAATAAGAATGATAAGAATAGAATATTATGTGACCGTGCGGTCGAGATAGTTGAATGTTAGTTACGAATTGAGAATTGAGAATTGAATGTGTATGAATGAGTTAAGAATTAAGAATGAATGCTACCCTGTGTTCCAAGGTGGGGGTGGCTCTGGCTCCCACCCTTACGGGTGGGGAGGGGTGAAACAGGTCCCCGCCAGAGGCTCTAACACGTACCTTTCAATAACACGCTGTATAAATACAAAATTTCACAACTATCGGTCCAGTACTTTCGGAGATTATCTGTCTAATAAAAATCCGGGACGGCAGACAAACGGACAGACAGGCGGAAACGGGAGACCTATTTCTTCGTCTTCTAGAGGTCATGAAAGGTCGAGAAAATGTAAAAGTAGAGAGTCGGTCGACGGACTCGATTATATACTACCTTTGCTTACGCTCGGGAAGTAAAATCATCTGAATAAACTGGTATATTGAATTTTGGTGCATCATCTAAAGAGTGATCAAAAGGTTTTCAGGTTCGAGTTGGCCATGGAAATATTTGTCACGTCTTTGATTAAACTGTAAAAGGTTATGCATGACTTTTTCAGTTTAATCAAAGACATGACAAATATTTCCATGGCCAACTCTAATCTGAAAACATTATGATTACCCGTTATATTTGAATCAAATATCTGTGTCGATATTTGAAAAAATTACACGGATATTTGTGAAAACACATTATCAATAATTAATGGGGTTTTCTTCAAAACAATATTTTGTTTTTTGTCCAAACTGAAATATGCCTTTGACAGATGCATATTAAAGTATATACAGAGGACCGTTGTCGCATTTACGTATAAGAGTCTTTTTGGGAAAACATTTTATAAAACTCTAGTGTGAAGTCACTTTCCTCTTCTCGTTCCGCTACTGCATCAGAATCTTGAAATATTGACATTGTATATGTTCACCAAAAAAATTGTAAATCTTAAACGTCGTTACGTAGTCTCACCATCCCTCTTAACATACACAACTGTAAACACGACAATAAAAAAAGAACACCCGAAATCGATATGCATTCCGCGTAGGGCATCCCATACGGTGTTTATTTGTTCTATTACTACAAACATATTTAGCCTTGCTGGTGCTTTATACAAGGACCCTTCACTGTTTACACTATCAATAAATTCTACTGCATTTTCTGCAGAAAAATAGAATTTGTTTATTCTGATGTGTCATGTTTTTGTAAGTTAGCCAGTGAATTGGTAGGCTACTTTCGATTTCGCTCTATTTGGCAACAGTTCTTGTTTACAATCCCAGTTACTATTTGTGAGCGGGTTTTTTAGTACTAATTGTATTAATTTCAAATTGTTATTATCTTTAGTATTTTCTTCATTATTACGGATAAGTTTGAGACTAGACTCAAGCCAAAATAACCAAAATAAGAACCAAGAGTTAAATTGGTGCCACTCCGAAAGAATTGGTAGACATTTGCTTGTTATTTACTGACCTTTATAATTGGAAGGCTTATTTGCGGAACTTTTCATATAACTTTTTTGGCACTGTTATGCGTCATACAATGCATAAATAAACATTAAACTGCAGTTACTATTCTTGTAACAACATTCACCTTCTCCAACAATTGGCACATACGAAACTATGCATTAACTAAAATTAAACTTACCGTCTTCCGGAACGACCTCTCATTTTATTGCGAAATTTCTTGTTTATCAGTAAAAGAATTCAACTAATTCACAGTTTTTCATGAACAATTTATACAATAACAAAGATCTCACTCGGCATCACAATTCACCAAAGATGGCGTCCGCGATAAGACAGCGAATCAGCGAATAGCATTAGTTGTTATTGATTTAGGTAGTGGAAGGGGGAGAAATGCATCGTACCCATTGGCGCGAATATTTAAATAAGACGAGAAGTCTATTAGAAACGATTAGTCTCCATAAAAAATTTATTCTCTTATTATTACATGATAAACACGAATGGTGTAAAGACAACAACAATTAGGCTAAAAGTAGAATAAATAATTTGGCACAAAAAATTTTCATTGTGACTAGTATAACAATATTAAAATAACAATTGTATCATTGCCTACATAATATTCAACAAATAATTTAATATCATACGAAAATTACGACACACATAAACTGCTTGCAGCATCACAAATTTCAGTACAGTTCCATGCTAATAATAGGTTGAATAGTGATGGTAAGGTGTGGGTGTTGGTGAAGAAACATGCGGTCTAGGAGCTAAAGGTGTTGGATGATAAGGACTCTGTGAAACCGAATATCCGCTAAACGCGGGAATTGGTGAGACGGCTCCACTTGGTGTTGTTGGTGCTAAAATTCTTCCGTCTCCGATAAGGCGGCTCTGCTCTAGCAGTCGCGGCTGCTCCGAAATAATTCGTGACTCATCATTCAACAATCTTTGATCAGCAGTTAGCAAATGATTACTCGTAAGCTGATCGTTATTCGACAAAATTCGATTTGTTGTGTGATCTGAAAGAATTCTTCCACTTAAGTCGGAACTCAAAAGCCTGCTTTGATCCAGTAAACGATGCTGAGTAGTTTGAATTGCATGCTCGGATAAGAGTCTAGAGTTGGCTATTTGATGTAAAGGGTGAGTACGAAGACTTAGATCCACGCTATGACGCCCTGGAGGTGTTAAGTCTAGAGAAACTACACGCAGAATATCAGCGTGTGTATAAGACGGCGCTGGTGGACTGTAATTCAATCGCAAATCCACCCTATCTACGTCAGGGTATAAGTGATGGTATCTGTTGATGTTGGAGTAGTTATGGAAACTTCTAGCTGACATGTCCAAACCTTGAAGTTCTGATGAATTTAATACGAGCGGTTCAAAATTACGATCAGTTCGGAAGTCCGATTCCATAGTACCATCGTAGGCTTTGTTGCGACTTTCCATGTTGTCTATTGCATCATAAGTTTTATTTCGAAACTCGAGATCGTTCGTAGACTCATATAAACCTCTAGCTCTTAGATTTTCACTTTCAACATCATACGTTTTCAAGCGAAGATCTAGATCTATATCAAACTTCCCACGGATGTCGGTAGAGAAATCATCGGGGTATTTGCCATTCCTTTCACTTTCTTCATTCTCTTTATCTTTCATATCAACTACTTGAATATTGCTTGAAAGATCGTTCTGATTTATTGCTTCCACTTGTTCGCCATCAAGTGGATTATTATCTTCGTCTACGTAATTTTTGTTATTAGCATCCATACCCAAATTATACACCTTGTTTTTGTCAAGGTCATCAAATTTAATCCTGAAGTCTTTTCTATCCGAAAAACTTGGGCCATCGACTTTGTACGGAGACTTATAAACTGACAAATCTAACTGAATATCGTGCTTAGAATGCAAACTGAGATTTTGGGCCGCCATGCCGTTACTATCATCCGACGATAAATGATCAGTAGGAACAGTATGACCGAAATCGTACCTCGGTGGACTTGGTACTGGCACCGGAGACAAATTCTTCGGTTGCCCATAAGTCTGGTTATGTGGAGACAAAGTATTTATATAATTTCGTACAAAATTTGCTCTTGGATGCATTTCTGGACTATTTCCAGGACTAAAATCTTCTTGGTGGAATCCAGAATAATCCATCCCCATGTTCTGATTGTGTCTTAACTCGTCATTCAGCTCGTCGGTGACTGAAATATGATCATTTACCGACGGTGAAATCAAATTTATGTCTCGAGGTTCATTTATGCAAACAGTTTCACTGTATGTCACATCCGGCAGACTATCAGATGGTGCTAATGTGTACAAATTGTTGACAAGAGCATCGGTACAATGAGGTGTAGTACTGACATCTATGTCAATGTTTGGTTCGCTGCAAACAGAATCTAAGGCTGCCTCCACCAGAAGACTGGCGTTGGACGCTTCATGCCGAGTGAAATCATTTAAGTTCGTTGGATTCATTTTTGTACGATCGTAGGCTTGAGTTTCTGGTACTTGAAGTTGGACTGTTGGAAGATCGTCCTTCAATCGGTGATCAATTTGGTAAAGATCAGGTTTTAACGGTTGAAGTGGTTGGTCGCCTATCCATTTTTTAGATCCTTTGGTTAGAATTTTCATGGTGGTAGTTACGGTATTCATATTGTAGGTTTCGATAGGAGGGGATGCTCTGGGATTGGGTTCCGGAGAACACTCTTCTTGTACTTGCGTGGGGGATTCGACCATGGGTGGGTCATCTACGTTTTTGCTGTCCATGCCTAGAAAAAAAATGAACACATATTATTGGCTACATTTTTTTATAATGTACAAAATTGATTGTAAAAATTAAATATACATGTTTAAAGAAGTCATTTTGTTTAATGAAAGTAAAATTGTGCATAAATACGCTCTGTATTGGATTTTTGAAGTATGTTAATATTGTTATGTTATTTGTGATCAATTTATGGAATTTGTGTTCAATTAACAGAGATCGTTTCAAGACGAAAGAAGTAGTTCACTTTAAAATCTTGTTGAACAAACTACTTCCAAAAACAAATATAAATTTTATAAATTACAAAAAATGTGACGAGGATTCTAAAACTTAATTTACTGGTTTAAATCTCGCGATTTATAAAATGCGATTCAAAATGGTGGTGTAAATGTAATTTGTTAAAAATTTTTGAAAAATACAATTCCAAAACAACATTTAATAAATCTTTTTTTTTCATTTTAAGGGATTTTTGTACAAACGTTTAGTTTAAACTATAAGTTTAAATATTAGCTATACTTTTTTAAATCTTAGCTGTCTCATATTGTTACGAAATAAACCCATACGCTGCCCCGGTACGGCGCCTATGGGTTCTAGTATATACGGCGACGATGACTCATTTTCTGTGACGAGTGTTCGAGAATAAGCCTAAAAGCGGTGGCGGAGACCTTCGAGAAGAACCGCGCGGCTGTTTAAATGGGAACCACCGTCGGGAGCAGTTAGTGCAGTACAGACGAGAGCTGAATTCAGTTAACAAGTCGAGTCCAACGAGTGACGGGAAAACCCAGTGAAGTTGCATCGGAATTATTTTGTACACAATTTCTGTATAGTTAGTTGTGTAAATTGGAGTTATTAAAAAATAAAATTGTTGAGTTTAACCCACGCTGATTTTATTCACCGATCAACGTAACAATATAACGCGAATTAAATTTTACAAAATAATGTAAGATGTGGTTAACAAAAAACGTCTTTAATCCTCCTTAGCTTACGCTCCGGAAGTAAAAACAACATTGCGAAAGTGCGTTTGAAAAATATAAAATTGGTCGAAAGTTATTTCGACAGAACTTCCCTCGCCCCTAAAGTACAACACAATAAATAAATCCAGATCTTTCGAAAAATGGTAAGGTTTAATTTTGCAAATTTATTCCAGTTTGATTTCGCGCGATATAACCCTTATAACTTAAAATAAAGATATGCATGTAGTGTTAAAGTAAAAATAAAGAAGGGTGCTACGCGTGTTTCAAACGAATTTTTAAATAACAAAATATGTGATGACGTCATTAACATTTTTGCAAGGACGTGTATACCAATTTATTATTGTTGGTTTAATCAATAACATACAGTGCATCATTTATTAATTTTTTTTGGGTAACTCTGTGTAAGAATTCTAAAAAGTATGCATTCAGGGATGATTTATTCGACAAAATTTTGAGATGACGTTATGAATTTTTTGGGAGGGGATAAATACATTTTGTTTAATGATTTACCATGATTACGATAACCTTAGAACTTTTGCAAGATTTCAGAGCATTTGATTTTGTAACTGCAAAGTCACGTTTCAAAATGTTGCAAAATTTTGATTTTTTCCCAAAAATCTGGATATGTAGGATAATAACTGAACACGGATTCATACACCACAAGTAAATTTGATAGTGAGAATGATTATTCAAATTCTGGTTTGCGTTTTACCATTTACACGATATTCCTAATATATGTATATACAAAATTTGACAACAATTGGTCCAGTAGTTTCTGAGATTATCTGTCTAATAAAAATGGATACACACGGCAGACGACAGACAACAGACAGACGGAAACGGGAGACCTACTTTTTCGTATTCTTGGGGTCATGAAATGTCGAGAAAATCTAAAAGTACAGATTCGTCGGATGGACCCTATTCCAATACTTTCTTATAGTTACGCTCAGGAAGTAAAAATAAGAAAAAGCATTCTATAATGTAGGCAACCATGCTTTTATAGAGGAATGTAACTTTCGGTTTGTGATAGGGGAGTTGGAATGCAGCGCAGAAGGATATTTTGGCCACTTCTTGTTTACTGGACACAATGAGAACACAGGTTAAAATTAAGGGTACATCTATTTGGTCTATAATTCCATAAAAGGGAAATTATTCAAACAAAAAAATGAATCGCATTCGACGCCACGTTTCTCTTCCAACGAGCATAATTAGTGTAAGTCCAATTAATTAACGATTTTCTAATCTGAAACTTTGGCGAATTCGTCAATGCCTTGTTGATTCACAGTTCATGTTAAGATTTTTACTGGTCCTGGTTCCAATACAATTTAATTGAAATCATACAACAACATGTAGCGGAAATTCACTTATTCAGGCTTAACTTATTTTAAATTAGCCATATATCTCAAATACTGGACATTTATCCTTAAAGTTATTAAATTATCCACACGTTATAACTTCTCACTCAAATTTATATTATAATACTTAGTTCATCTACATTAGAATTCTTTTAATTTTGGATAGGTGTTGTAAAACGGTACGACATCTGGTATGTTTCTGTTTCTGTCTTCAACCGACACACTGTATTCACACACTTCTTAGCATCTTAGAGGTGGAAACGTATATTGCGTAAATACACTGCGTCGAACGAAGACAGAAACATCTTGCCAAAATTTAAGGAATTCTATTATATAGCATTTAAACTATTCGTAAATGTTGATCAATTTCGAGAGAAAGGACCTTGAGAATTATCATTAGTTAAATAACATCATTGTGCAGTCGAAATGAGAAGTGTATTTTATATTTATTTTGCCTTATATTAATGTATTATTTTCGTATGAGCCTAATTAAATATTTTGTCGCACCTTGAATTGGAACATTTATTCTCGAACTATAATTTTGATTTTGATTGAATTAATGCACAATTTAACCTCAAGTAAATTCTTATTGCTTGAAATTCTTGACAGAGTGTAGAGTGTGGCATAATTTAACATCATGCAGATTCTTTGTTATTTAAAGATCGAACATTTGTTTGCAGTTTCAATAATTAATTCAATCATCACCAGAGCTCAATTGTCTTGATCGGAGCCATCGATCCCGTAACCGTATCTATGACTTTGATTCGCTTTAGTCTTTAGTTTTTGTTCATATTTAAATCTGCAGCTATTTTAATAAATGTCAAAAATGTAATGTTATTGAAAAGTTTTATACGTTAAAATTTTTGTGTGAGTTTTTTAAATGTGTTTAGTTTGTAATCTTTTGTTGAATAAAGTTATTCTTATTAAGAGCAGAAAAACGGAAACTATATTGTAATTTTTGTAATTTCTCAGCCACATATAACTTGCTACCACAAATTTCACAATTCTTACTTGTTTCGTCCCCTTCACTGTCTTCATCTAAAGTGGCCGTGTTTGATTCGTTATGTTGAATACCCGAAGGATCATTTTTATTTTTTTCATCGTCTTCCAATCCGCTGTAGGCTTCAAAAGTGTAGTCGATGCTTCGTTCTATTTTAGGCATTAAGTCTTCTGTAAAACTGTGGACCTTCTTATAATGAAACTGCAGACATTGTTTTGTGGTAAATGCAGCATTACAACTTTTCACAACACACCTAAAATTAATAATAACATAACTATAAAGTTCTTTATTCGAATGCAAAAAACATACTTAAAGGGCTTAATGCCACTGTGTGTCAACATGTGTATTTTTAAGTTTGATTTATTTTGAAAATGTTTACCACAACGAATACACGAACAAGCGCCATCTACTTGCTTCTGGTGAACCTCTTTCAAGTGTCTTTGTAAAGCTGCTCTGGAGCCCAAAATTTTCAAGCAATTTTTACATTGAAATTCTTTTAAAACTTCTGCGAAATCTAGCAACAATATGATAATGAACAATTAATGTATTTATTACAAAAGACAAGTCATTGCATACCGCTATGCATTCGTTTTATATGAACTTTCAGCTTCTGAGGTTGACAAAACTTTCTTCCACAAAAATCACATAAAGGTCTAGATCTGTGCGGGTTAGCGGAACATCCGTAGGTACGATGCATTTCTAGGTAATTAAGTCTTAGGAAAAACTGAAATGTTCCTAGGTAATTATTGAACCACTGTAGTTTGAGTTTTACCTTTTTACAAAACTGGCATTGGTAGGCTCCTTGTCCATTGTGAAGTTCTGCGGCGTGTTTCATAATGTTTTCTTTTCCTAAGACAGCGGCACCACAGACTTTGCAGTGGTACTTGCGAATTGTCAGACTATAGCGAATGTCATGGAATACTGAGCAATGAGTTCTGTAGTAGAGAGGGTGAGCGAATGTCATGTTACAACCACCACAAGCTACAATAAAATTACATGTAGGTACAGTATAATAAATTGTATGTATATCTTACAAGTTTTTTCCATTTTCTTTTTATTTGTTGTCACTGTAGAATCTTGCCAATATAACAACTCTTCCCCATTTTTAATCAGCTTTGTCGTAATGAAATAAAACACGTCTTTTTTTGTTATTACTGTAATATTTTTATCATCTCTGGCTGCAGCGGGTCTTACGTATCTCATCCAATTTGATATTTCCAAATTTTCAGTATTAAAATAAATATTACCGCCGTTTTCGTCGCAAATTTCCCAAATGTCTCTCATATTTGAATCTTCTGAGATATCTACTTCTTTCACTACTTTTCCAACAAGAGGTCCAAATTGAGTAAATTCCTGAATTTCAATTTTTGCAAATACTCCTAAACCATGGTCAGTGTTAGTGTCTATTAACTGTAAAAAATTGGGCAAAGAAGCTCTGGCGAACACAAACTTATTTACATCTTCACTTCTATGGTCACTTTCTTTTTCAGATTTGACAATCTCTGTTTGATCTGCATATAAGTTTTCATATTTATTTTGCCAAGTGTTTAAATCAACAGCGTCAGGTATAATAAAATTTGGATAACTTAAAGGGCACTGATCTTGAATGTGGTGAGTATTGCAGTTTTGACACAGCTTAATTTTTATTGCAACTCTGCTAGATACATCAGTGGTTTCTTGAACTGTTTTAGGTGCATCTATTTTATTATCAGTTTGTAACCCAAGTTCAGGAGCTTTCCTAATGTCATGGTCCACTCTCTTCTTCGTTTCTGTTGATTTTTCTTTCCTTGGAGGCTTTTCAATACTCGTTGATTTTTTCTTTTTAACTTTCTCTTCTTTCTGCTCTGTGTTGAGTACAGATTTGTTACTCATGTCCTTGTTATTTAGATCATAATTTTGAACGTTAGCACTATGTGTTGGGGTTATTTGAAGTTCAGATGCTATCTGTGAAGACATTATGTTTTCTGTGTGTACCTGAATATGTTGTTCACTAGCACTTTTGTCCATACTATTTCTGACAACGGTTTCTTCATTTGTTATGAAAACTTCTTTCTTATCCTTTTTCGTTTCGTTCTTTCTACGTTTGTTTGGACTTGCAGATTCATTGTCCTCCCTTTTGTGACTGTTCTTGTCATCTTGAGTTTTACACGCGGATCTAAAAAAATAGGGTTACTACACACTTTTTTATTAATTGCTGAAAAAATACTGCAGCTTCTCTGTTGACAGACAAGAAAATCAAAAATTGTAAACAAAACCCACGTGTTGTTATTATTGATTTGTCAAATAAGCCCCGCCTCCAAATATGTCGCCCAAGAGTTTGGTGGAAAATAAATTTCAATTTTCGTGGAAATATAAGAAAAGGTTTGTTTAACAAGACTGAAACTCACCTACTTAAGTAATCCTGTGCTAAATCTAATAATTTTGTGGCAAAACTTTGATTAGTTTCACATGAAAATGAAGCTTTGAGAAGATTCCACCGTTTGACATTTACGAAGCCAACCGTTACCTCAAGCGCTGAATTTTCATCAACTTTTAACTCGTTACGTTTACTCTTAACACTTTCACTTGTCACTTGTCTGTTTATTTCTTTTTGGAACTTTTTGGACATCGCGTAAATTCCCATAAAGAGGATAGTCCATCAAGAGTTCTATCCTCTTTAAGCCAAGGACATTGTGTGACGTCACGTGGCGCCAAGTTAAAATTTATGATCAATAAAACGCCCATGAACTTGATGTTGATGAAGTGCTCTCTCTGTTTTCTTTTTGAATCACAATATCAAAATTTTTTACTAATTTAGACAAAGCATAAACAGTTTCGGACAGTTACATGGACACTTACATCAAGGAGCTTACGCAAGGCAGCTTTTTTAACAATTTTTGAACAAATCTTGAAGCCAATTGTTGCAGCTGTGTAACCAGATATGAGAAATTTATAATATTACACGAAATTTTGTACTTTTCTTCATAGGAGTTTAGCTACAAAAATGTTTATTATATGTACTAATTTCTGTATAAATTTTATTTGTAAAAAATGCATCTCAAAAAATGGTTCAGAGTAGGCGACATCTAATGGAAAGTTTAAGAATGCTGATTTTGTTTTGACAGTGGAGGTGTGTCATTGCTATAACCTCAATTTTAACATGTGTTATTTATTTCTGTAAATATCTCCAGTAATGGCAAAATTGGGTGCTTATTATGGTTTGTGCCCCCTAATAGATCACCGAAGTCTGTTAGGGATATCTGAAGACGAAGAAAATGGAGTTGTGATTGTGACTTTGGGTAAAAACATAGCCATCAAATTTAAGGTTAGTTTAGTTGCATGTATTTTACAATTTTATATAAAAGTTTAATAGCTTTCAGATCAAAAACAACTATGTAGTTGGAGAACAAAAGATAAATTTAGTTCTCCAATAATTTACGATAAGCAACAGTCACAATATGTAGCAGCTTTTAATGATAGTTTTGTTCGACAGTGGAATGGCAATGAAGAATTTTTGGATAAGTTAAAAAAATTAAAGGTATGTATGTTGTTACAGTGTAAAATATCAAACTTAACTTAATTATGTTACAGTTTAACCAACAAATTCACACAATTTTTAAATGTAATGACGAATGTTTTATTGTTTTTAAAAGTGGTGCAATTTATCCATTGCAAAAAGCTATAGAAAATAGAAAGGATCTTGTGCCTACTAAAGTTATTGAATCAGAATCGTGCTATATAGTTGATGTGTTATACACGAGTTTTAATGAAAGCACATATGTTGGTTTAATAGTTAAATCAGATGAAATCCATGCTTTACATTGGACAAGATTTGATGGTTTAAATGAACAAAATAAATTTTATAAAGTTTCTCTTCAAAAGGACAACGAATTGGTTGGATACGCTTTTCACGTGCATCAAGCTTCAGTGAATTTTTTTTCTGTGTGTAAGTTTAAAGAAATATGTTTTTTTCTGTTTAAACTAGTGTGTTGTTTTAGGGAGTGATAGCCGCATTTATTCCACTGAATTAAAAGAAGACACGCTAGATTTTGGCGAATTGTTCACAGCTATTGAGTCCGTTTCTTGTAAGAACTACGTCTCTATGATCAGTTTAGATCAAAACTACATAGCCATGTATGGATGTAATTCAGATGAAGAAGGAGCACTGCTTGTTATCTACAACGTTCAGTTTAAAGTAGTGCAAACAAGACAGTTATTTAAGTTATTTACAAATGGAGCCAAAATTTGGTGCGTCAATGGAAATTTGTTGTTTCCTGTGGGACAAAATCTTGCTGTTGTTCCATTTAATTTAGATATGGAACAATTGGCAGCTCTCGTTGGTAGTCATAAAGTTATTGAAGAAAACTTTGATCCTGATATTGCAATTGTACACAAAGTGCAATGTGTAAGTTGGGGAAAAGATGTAAATGACAAAGAGGACGATATGCCAGATTTAATACAAACAAAACTTCAAGAGTATATGTCTCAAGGATTGAGTAAAAGTATCATTTTTGATACTCTTCTTCAAGAGTGTATGGAAGATAAAAATACTGAGGTACTTAAACAAGCAATTAAGTATTTTGATGACATCCCTGAAAGTGCATTAGTCAAGGTACTTAAATTAATTTTAAACTTAAAACCTGAATCTTTTAAGAAAAATACAATGAGTTCTGTCAAAAGTTTTCCACACAAATTACAACCGGAAGAGAGGTCTGAAATCTTAGATATGATACTTTGCAGACCTTTCAATGAAACTTTAATTTTTTTTGAGCTGCGCTCCAGTTTGAATATAGATGACGTTATACTTTTATTAGAATATATTTACTTTTTGTTCTCTGAAGATGGTCACCCTTTACCATTGCTTACTTACCTAGAAACAGAAGCAAAATTGATTGGGTGGATGTGTATTTTGCTAGATGCTAATTATCAAAGACTTTTGTTAACTAAGGACGAAAAAGTGAATGAAATTTTGACGTCTTTTAAGGATCATATTAAAGAAGAACTAAATTGCTCAGATGATTTACAACACAGTGCTTCATTACTACGCGAACTGAAAAAGGGCAAACCTCTCAGTAAAACAAAACACATGGCTGGGTTAGGCTACTCCATTGAAGAATTTCCTTTGTATTAAAATATAAATAAATATTTTATTAAAAAGTCGTTTTTTTAATGTGCAGAATGTCAATGAATTAATGCACACATTTTAACATTTTTGTTTATGTAAGTTCTTTTTTATCTTTTCGCTGTGAAGTGAAAAGCTAAGTGTAATATAAACACAATTTTTTGAAATGGAATTTTCTAATTCTTTTATTCGGCTTTCAGTGGGCATTATTATTTACATGATATGCACGGCTAGGAAAGATAATAATCAGATATTTGCAATTCTTCATTGATATAAATGTGTAAGAGCGGTTTAATAATACGTAGGGGAGTCTGAACTCAGGGTATCCCTACAAGCGACGCCTATGTCAAAAGTTCATTATATTCCAAAATTTATAATTTAAATTATTAACTGATTTTTCTTGATAAGTGACCACGTGACAGTTGGAATAAGTTCAAAGTCCCTAAATTAGTAGTAGATTTAGGGACTTTGACATGAGTTGGCATCTGTCAAGCGTCAAAAAGTGACAGACTGATTTTTAACCAAAACAGGTTAGTTCATGGTTAGTTCGAAAACGTGTGTAAAAGTCGCACCATATTTTACCATAAAAGTAGTCTAAAATTTCCGTAAAATGCCCGCGGCTGAAGAAGTGAAGTCCAGTTGGGCTGACGAAGTCGAATTAGAGGGTGGTTCGCTGCCACCCCCTACAGAAGCATACGATAACGGCCTCAAAGTAATCACCGAATACTCTTACAACGACGACGACAAAAAAACCAAAATCGTCCGTACGTACAAAATCGAGAAGCGCGTCGTCTCCAAGTCGATCGCCGTACGCAAAACTTGGAAAAAATTCGGCGAAAGCGCAAACGACAAACCTGGACCGAACCCTGCTACGACCATCGTAGCGGAAGACGTGTATATGCAGTATATCACGAGTAAGGAAGAGGACAACAAGCAGGAGGACGAAGGACTTGATAAACTTAAAGGTAACTATTTTTTTTTGTGGTTGACCGTGCTAACGTGAAAATTCTAGCCCTCGGAGACAAGAACGTTGTGAAATGTAGAACGTGCAGCGGCGATCACTGGACCTCCAAGTGTCCCTGGAAGGACACGATGTTGGCAGGAGGAAAAGTGCCTGACGATAAAAAAGGTCCCGCAATTGGGGGACCTCCAACTGGAACGGACACCAGTAAGGCAGGCGGATCTAAGTATGTTCCACCAAGCATGCGCGACGGGGCTGCTAAAAGAAGCGATAATCTCAGTATGGCGAGACGGGATGATGCGACGGCTATTCGAATTACTAATCTCAGTGAATCTACAACGGAAACTGATTTAGAGGATCTGGTTAAACCATTTGGTCCCATACAGAAGTTGTATTTGGCCAAAGATAAACAAGCTGGTTATTGTAAAGGATTTGCTTATATTCACTTTAAATTTAGAAATGATGCTGCTAAGGCTATTGCTATGCTTAATGGGCATGGGTACGATCACCTTATTCTTACAGTTGATTGGTCTAAACCACATCCAAACTAATACTGCAATTATTTATGTATTTGTTGTTTATTTGTAATAAAAATAATATGTACAAAAACAAAATTAGCTGTCTGTGAAAATCTATACCCGCCAACATTGTAAATACGGAAGTGAGATTAGGGTGGTAACAGAACAGTTGAACTGAAATATCTACAAAGGGTAACAAATATCACTAATAGATAATATAAAAAATTAAATAATAAGAGAAAGAGTAAAAGTAGAAAGTGTCAACAGGTATATACAGACAGAACGAATAACTGAGGTGGTGGGAATATATGACTAGCCTAGATAATGGGTAAAGGAAGAGAGGCAGACCTAGGAACACATGGAATAGGGAAGTATTTTGAAACAACAAAAACTGGATTGGAAAGAAGCCGAAATGCAGTCAAAGATAGTAAGAAGTGGAAAAGGATAAGTTTCGTGGTATTATTTGTAGATGTCTGAGTTACCTGTTGAATATAGAACTTTTACTGATTTGTCACTCTTTGTACTGAAACCCGGATTTCTCCTTCCCAAACGTAAGTTAACAAGGAAGCATTTGATGAATGCCCAGTTTTACGTTTTCTCAGCGCTACAAACATAGCTTCTAGGATACCAAAATCTCGATCTCTGTTTCCGTCTATGTGAATGTCTTTTGACGACTTTGTTAGAACAATATTCGCCAAGTGCTAAACTGATTACCGTAAAATTTTTTGACATTCTATTGTGAAAAAAAGAAAATTCTCTATACCAGTTTAAAAACGACTCTTCTACGACTATTGCAATTATTTTCTGGATTATAAGTTGTAAGCAGTTTGATTGGTGCCTACATAAGGCCATCCAGGTATTCAAAGATCTCACTATTTACTTAGTTGCAATAACGAAAACCTCGAATATAGGTATAAATTTTCTAGAGGATTTGAAAGTTTAAGGATCAGTAACATTTTGATTCGTATTATGTGTAGTAACATTAATAATAATCTGTCTCATGCACCGAAACCTGAAATCACACAAACAAAACACACGGAATACGATCAAAATTAGAAGATCGGGAAACGCTTTGCTCTGAGCCGCGACTTCGAGAATAAAGTTCAAATTCAAATCACAAAAATTATGAAACCTGCTTGAACATATTAAAATTAAAATCCTCCCCAGGATATGAATTTAACGAATGGAAATTTCAAGTTCCTTTTTCTCAGAGTGGGTCAACGTTTAAGATCAGTTTAAATGTATAAAAGTCATAAATGAAGTATGTATTATTCATCTCAAGTGAGAAGTTGTGAAATGTGTTATAACGTAATAACTTCAATAAAAACATTTAGAAACTTTAGATACCATTGTGGGGGCTGGCAAGTCCCACAAAATTGTATAGCATTTGTATATAATCTGTATTTAATTACTTCCCAGTATCACCCCGAAACTTTCTCTTCGTCCACCTGCATGTCGTAAAACCTATCTTTTGTTCACTCTTCTCAGTAATACTTATCCTTTCCCAGATTTCGAATACCTTCCAAGAACCCTTTAGACACAACTGTTTCCACCGCTTTCTACCTTTCTTTTCATTTTAATTTCACAAACTCCAAGACTCTTTCCTCAACTGCCGTACGGACAACATCAAAATAAATACGCCAAAACGCACGTACTGTTTCAATCACCTGATCACCCCACACCGTGATAAACAAAAAAAATACGTGAATTTGCGCCACGTTTTTTAAAGAACATTTACAAGATTGTTGAATTATCTTAGAAGCATAAATTGCGAATATGCAAATGACAAAACAAAAATTACACGTGCTGAAACTTCACAACGTTTCAGATTGTAAAATCGCTAATTGACTGCATTACCAACGAATCCACACTCGTTGGCGCGGACTGTGGCATCGAATGCGATTCATTTTTGTTTAAACAATTGCCTTTTTATAAAATTACAAACTAAATTTAACCTATGTGGCGGCACAATAACACGTCGGTAAGCGAAGAAAGATAAGTCGCCTCGTGGTCTAGTGGTCTGGATGCTTGCCCGGAAAGTGAGAGGCGTGGGTTCGAATCCCACCGAGGTATCAACATTTTTCTTCGCTTACTTACAAGCTACAACACATGTTTACACTCACTCACAACAACAAACAAGAAGTGACGCCGACGCTGTTGCTACGCGTTCTCACGCTGCGTAGTTTTTTTTCACTCAACTTGGTCTTTTCTGACATCATTGTAATAACTTGTGTATACAAAAGTTGGACGCGTTGATGGCATAGTTTTACACATTTCAGATTAGAAAATCATTACTAAACTGACTGATATTGCACTAATTATACTTGTTGAAGGGGACTGTGGCGTCGAAAGCGAGCCATTTTTGTTTAAACAATTGCTTTTTTTATGGCAAGCAAAATTACATACCGATTTAACACGTGCTTACACTCACAACACTCGTAACCTCTCTACGAAGCCCAGGGTTACATTCCTTTATTTTTTTTAAATGCGCTTTCGCGAAGTTGTTTTATTTTTCTTAGCGCGAAATTCATGACACTAGCACAGTACACCAGTATCCAAATAAAAACTTGTAGTAAAAACGAATGAAAGCCACCACTTTTGTCTCTGTAATTATCACATTCGCACTAGTTTTCAATTTATTCTCATTCGTATTATTAATTCCATATTTTCTCACTTGAATTTTACGTGGGTTAATCGCGAACAAACTGCCAGCACTGAATAATTAAAATAAAGTTCAATTAAATACATAACTCAACATTTGCAGTATTTTGTGTTAAAAGTGGAGATTAGGATTGCTTTTAATAAAAGTAGAAGATTATTAGAACGGTGAAGATCTATTTTTTATTTAAATATAAATAATACAATTAAAGCAAACTCTTTAAAATGCGTATCTAGTTCGAATATCCTCCAATTTCTTAGAAACCTCCGCAGGAGTGCGATCCAAATCTGATGCTATACTTTTTTGTTTGACTGGTTCTAACGAATTGTATTGCTCACACAAATCACCATCAATTACATTCTGAAAACATACGTACATTTGATTAGTACAAATCCCATAAAATATGCAAAAATAAATACTAACACTAATTACATTCAGAAAAAATAAAAGTTAATCACTTTTAATCATAAGTCTAGCATGTGTTAAAAATCATCACACAATATACATATACTTAATAATTCAATCAGAAAAACTGGTTACCTTAACAGGATAGTAGTAACTTCTGTACGAAATATGATCTCTTCCACACAGTGGCGGGTTTTCACTTCTCATGTGCATTTCTAAATGTTGGAAGAAATCGTGATCTTCTCTTGACGTAAACGGTACAAGTACACCAACAGTTCCTGATAATGTTGTGTAAATCAAAGACTCCCACCCTCCAGGAATTAAGGTCGCTTTCTGCAACCACGTGACAGTTTCACCTACATGGAATGTTGAGATGGTGTCAGCTTTTTGCGAAGCTCCATTTAGGAGACCTAAATAAATATAACAAACGTATTGTTACACTTGAAATGTATTTTTAATTAATATGTAGCTTACGTGGGAGACCCAAAAAAATTTCAAAACTGAATTTTTCTGGTACTATGAGCAAGCGTTAATCTTGGACATTTGCGAAAAATTTATCTTCAATGGAAATGAAAATAATTTGACGTAATGTCCACACAAACTATAGAATTACAGAGTGAAACCTACCTCTGTCCCACAATGATTTATGACCAGTGGGATCTTCCTCAACATCATCGCTGACATTTGGTGGTAATCGCATGATGGCAATATTACCAAATTTGTCGGCCACAGCAACAGTGTCGTAATCCAGTACATTGGTGCACGTAATCCAGCGTGGATGCGTGTCGTCAGCAAATATAATCAGCTGATTTTCCGCCCTCTTATATCTAACCATGAAAACTGATTCTTGCACATCCGAAACGAAAATTCTCTTACCCATAGCTTGAATGTTTACTATACCGTTAGGTATGTGCTGCAACGTTATAGAAAAAATAAATAATATTTTGTTGTCAACAAGATAAAAAATGTGACAAAAACAATTAATCAGAACTGCAGGATATCAACACAAATTCAGACAAGTTTTATTTCATCATTTGAAATTAAAAAATAAAATACATACAATAGTAAAAAACCTACCTTGTTTTCACATTTTCTTAGCAGTTTTTTCTTCCCCATGTCATACAGTCGGAGCATTCTGCCAACACCAGCAAGCAAAAGACCGTTGTACGCACATAGAGCCATAGGGACTTCGTCAACTGGAGTTCGATGAACAAATTCCAATTCTCGGCCCATTGGATCGATTTTGTATGTGTCCAGGTACCCACTATTACAGTGCCTGGGATTCAATTGAAAATCTTTTGCAATCCCAACAATTAAGAAGAGAATTTGTTGAGGCTGGTTTTGGAACTTGACCAAAACACTAGACATCGCTGCCTCGTTTTGTTCCAATCTTATTAACTTGTGAGTAATTCCCTGTACAGGATCCATTATCCTTAAAGTAGAAGCCCACATTCCGTGTCCAGCTTTCGGTGCCGAGAATACACTTTCAGGTAAATCTTCATTCAAGAAAGCATCAGCCATTTCTTTAGCCAATTCCTGCTCTTCTTCGCCCGCAGCTTCCTTCATTTCCTCAGCCATTTGCAACCTTCTTTGTTTTTTCGTTTCTTCAGTATATGCGTTGTGCTCGGTTTCGGTTATAATCAAATTATTACTTTCTGGATGAATTATAAATTTCCTTGGAGTGTACTCCAAAGGAAACGAGACTTGGTTGAAAACGGCACCCAGTTTCTCCAACGCCAAAATTCTCAAAGTGTTGGTTGAAATTGCAACAATGCCTTCTGGACACTGCTCTGAACTAAATCCAGAGGCGTACTCCAAACTTTCGTATGATAAGGGAGTTAAATAAAATCGACTTTGGTAATAATAGCTCAACCACGATCTACTACTCATTGCTAAGACAGCTTCAGACTGTTGCATTCGTATTCTGAATAGTTTCACTGGTCTTGAACCCAAATATCGGGTTCTCGTGTCTGAAAGTTCTCCAGAGACAGGATCTAATACGTTACGCAGTAAAGCGCCATTTTGTAGACCAATGTTCAAATATAAGGTACTAGTAGTACTAGCAGCAGCTGCGTTATCGGCGTCACGGTCTGTGCAACCCATTTCAACAATACACAACGACTCTGCACACACCGGTAAACCTTGTATCGACCGTGGGGCTAAACAATCGCTAGGATCCAACGAGATTATTCTCACAGTACTGTCCGCTAATCCTACTGCCAAGAAGAGAGATAACTGTTCACCAGGGGTCACATTTGCTAATGCCATACAGACAACGTCTGAATTCATGCGTTTTCTTTCTTTGTATTCGTGTAATTGCCCAGTCTATCAAGAAAAGAAATGAAAATTAATTCGGTTGCACAATATTTATGGTTTCAAAATTAAATAATTAAATACAAATGACGATTTCGTTTCCTATGTAATAATCAATGATATGACGGTAAGAATAAACAACGTATTCTTTTTGTAATCACTGCTACTTTATAGCAACTCGCGGATGTCGCATTACGAATCAAATTAAACAAATAAAGTTACTTTGCAGGTTCAGTATTTAAAAAAAAAAGTTTTGCAACATCTAATTTCATAGTATATTATCTTGTTATTTAAACCATCAAGATTTATTTTTTATAAAATATAGTATTCAATTACATAGTTTAAAGTTTGTATATCTGTGACATTTATTAATTACGAGAATGGTAAATCCGTTCAGTAGATGTTCTTACTTTACCTGTATTAAGTACCGAAAAATAACATGTCTCTACAACATTGATTACTTGGTCTACTTAAAGTAGCATCAGCACAAGAATAAAGCATAATATTCAATTTTCAAAATCAAGTTTGTTGAATTCAGAAATTCAAACAAAATACATGAATAAGATGTTTTACAAAAACCCAGAAGTCACGGATTTTAGTTTATCACAAAAATAAATTAATTTTGTTTAAAACTAATGTAATGAGACTGTATTTTTTAAAATTTATGGTTTCATAGCACTTAAGTTTATTAAAAAAAATTGGTTTGGAACAGAACCTCATTCGTGATTAACTCATGGAGTTTCACAAATGTCCGTGGAATTTTTTCACTAATATTGGCCTCTGAAATTTCGCAAATATCTGATTCAAACAAAGTAGGTTATCTGTGAAACCACTTGTAGATCTTGTTTTAAAATATTAAAATAAAGTTTATGATCTGATCAGATTCTTCTGATAAATTTTAAGCGTCTTTTTGGATCTTTGATAATAGCAGATATATAGTCTTTTTTATCACAGTTTTGCTTAAGAAAAGCAAAAAAATCTTCCAGCTTTTTCGAGTTGAGTTTTTCCTTAACACAATTTAGCGATGACATCAACACTTTTGCAAGGACACGTATATCAACTTGGAATGGTACAGCGTAATATTAAAAATAACAATATTGTATTCCCAAAATTTTCTAGGAAAGTGGAGTGAGCCGTTCCTGCTTTAATCGTTAAAATAAAGTGACTCATTCATTAATTTGCAAGATTTCAAAGTATTCAGTTTTGCAATTCTTGATTTATTCAATAAAATAAATTGACTGATAATTGATGGATAATTCCGAGTCGTAGCACAAAAGAAAAGTAGTCGGTTATACCGATGCAAGGGGAAAAAAAAAGCCAAGTTCCGCATCGAACCCATAATCGCAGTACTGCAGGTCGCCATTTTCTCCGATACACCCACTGCGTCACGGAGACGTACAAACCGTGTTGGGAATAAAACGTTATTATAACTTGCAAATGTTTTGGCGAAAATTTGAAAGCATAGCGGGAAAACTCAAAGTAGAGCCGTACGCTACAAGTATGAGTATATTTTTGTGTAACATTCAAATCATTTTAAAATACCATTCACGGGATACTGCTTTTTTCGTACTGTAGGGGTCATGAAACGTTGAGAACACATAAAAGTGGCCTTTGGTCCGATGGAATCGATTACAAAGATGTAATATTAATTCAGTAATCGATTTAATATTAAGATAGAAGAATTCTTTGAATTTAAAGTGGTGATGAAGTACTGCACGGTCTGTCTAGATGCGTTGTAAAAATCGACAGAAATCAACACAGATTTTTTTTCTACAACTTTATGAATAAGACCGCATTTTAAAAAACATTTTGTAAAAAAGGGTCGTTTAGGAATTATCTAGAGCACTGTAGAAACTGTCAAAAGAGTAAAGAACTTTTTGTATTGGAAAACTTAATTTGAAGTAAAGTTGTGTTTTAAATGGGTATAATTTCAAAATTATAGAAGTGAATAGTATGCAGTGAAATAGTAAATACAAAAAGTGGATCATTAAGTACCGTTTACATACATGGGTACAGGGATTGCCGAAAAAGCAACTTTAGAACTGTTATCCTCCAGTAAAAAATATACTAAAAAATAAAATTTTTTGAAGCATCAGATGAGAACTATTTTATGACAAAGTAACAAAACCTATGTTACTCATATTGTAGTTTTATCAAAGACATCTCTTTACACCGCCGGCCGTTAACATTTTTGGCGCAGCAACTTTTAAAAATGAAGTCCGAAGATCTTAGCGATTTAGGAACCGCACTGTTTGATTCAAACAGGAAAAACCTAGATCCTCTAGAGAGAACGATTTGTTGAATTTATACTCGTATATACGCAAATATGGCTAAATTGAGATTTTCCCGAAGTTGCAGGTCTCTATACCTATTGTTCAAGAAATAGATATCAAAAACTACACTAGTCATTGCCTGCAGCGAACACTAGCTACGTTGCTGCTATTAATGTAGGTGCCGACCTTAAAGAGCTTTGGTGGGTGTCATAAATGTTAAAAACTCAAAAAAATGTTTTTAAGTATAAATACATCAAGAAAGAAATAAAACTTTTTAAGCCAATAAAGACCGTATTATTATTATTATTACATGAACCGTGATTTTGCAGCTAGTACTATGTTGAACACTAGTAAAAAATAACGAGCTTTTCAATTTCTTCTATTCGGTGCCAACAACTATTTAACTTCAATCTAAAGTATTTACTGTAAGTGCTTTAAGTCAGCAAGTTAATATTAGTGAAAAATCCCTTATGTTTCACCACCGTAACGATGAACCATTTTCGAAATTGTTCTGTTTTCTGTGGTATTTACTGAAATGAACTAATTTAATGTTGCAATATAATCAATTTAGATGTAAAATTTTGTAGTTAAAGTGGTCTAGGGAAAAATAGTCTTAGTACAAAAATTAGTATTTTTATTGCTTTTGTATCAATGAAACAAGGAACTATTTATAATGGAACCACTGTATTTTGCTTTTATTAATATGTATAATTTTTTGTGCAAAACTACGTCGAATTATAAGTTAAAAATTTAATAATGTCAATAATAACAAAAAACTTTGTAAGATGTAGTTTTGTTGATGTAAACTAAAGTTTTCTTTGACCACGTATTATATAAAAGAAGCTTCTGTCGCTGTTGCAGCATATATGGGTCGTCTATTTAGTGAAACATGAAACTTTACATACTTTCTATTTTTACATTCAGATTTGAATGCGTTTGGTATTAGTGTTTTAAATTATACTACTGTGAAGACTTCAAGCACGGCCAACTGTATTAATACATATGGCCATCCCAATTCGTATAAAAAGTTGATTCTTTGACGTTTCCAAAATCGTTAATCAGGCAACGACATCTGTTGAGTACAATTATGAACTTGGTTGGCAAATAATTGTCAAAATGACGTTTTAAAATATCACGTTTTTCTGAAAGTGTAGATAATGGCACAAGAACATTAATGATATTACTCATATTATTTAGTTTTGAAATAAGATAGATATATTTTTAAAAAACGAAAATTATTTAACAAAAAGGAAGGTACATATTCATAATTTTAAAACTTTTCTGCTGGTAGGTTTGTTACAGATCGTTATTTTCTTCAACCAGTCTGTTTGTTCCAAACAAATATTATCAATAACTGGTTTCACTGTTGCTCGAATAATTATATCACAAACTCTTGATTTATGTTCCAAGCAACAAAATAATGGATTTTGGTCCAAAGAAGGATGGAGCAGATTACACATTTGTTGACATGTCTTTTTGGAATTTAAAAACGGCAACATTTTTTGAGTGACGTCAGCCACTACCTTCACAATGCCTACGAAATATGCATTGGGATAGGTTAATCCACCTCGATCCTGTAACAGGATGAGTCTTAATAGCGGACCAGGAACCTCTTTGGACAACAGCGGCGCAAGGCAGCTGTCGCAATGAAATTTGTCGTCTAATTTCTTTAAAATGTAGCCAGCCAAAAAGGCCACAGATGCCGATGAAATGTTTGCACAGCGTTCAATTAATTTACTTAGGTTTTGAATCTTTGTTCTTAATTCCAAAGGTACATCAAAATTTTCTTTGTCTTGTTTTGTATCATGATCCAAAACCGAGATTTTTGCAGTACTGACAAAGTCTATATTGGAAACATTAGATGATTTGGAACATTTGGAACATATTTAACAATTCTGCATTGCATATTCTGCCGCTCTGGCATCCGTTGCATCATTGGAGCCTCCTTTTAATCTCACGTGTGAGAACGTTGCTTCCACCGCATCGGAGCTAAAGGAACGCGTAAGAACATAGTAAAAGCCTGCTTGTTCTAATAAAAACTTAACACACAAATATGTACTTCTGGCAATAAATTTTAAAGCATGTGCAGTCTCTTGAGTGAAACCACGAAAACCAGTGCTAGCAGTATTTGATAAGATAAAACTGATTTTCGCACTTTTGACATTTTCAACTATTTTTCATTTATTTTCGAAAATTAGCGAAAAAAGTGACAACAATTTTTCGTAATTTCCAGAAAATTTTTGTCTGAAACAGTTAAAAGACGATCTGACCCACCGGAAAATATGTAGTTGACTTATAGATAAAATATTTTTTGACGATTTATCTTCAAATAACTGAGAAATGCGAGGAAAGGACTCCAAAAATCTCCAAAATTTTCAAAAAATTTGAAACCGTTCCAAATGGCTTTATTTCAGAGAAAAACATTGAGTTTCTAGTTTTATAGAATACTAATAGCAAATTTACCTTATGAAATACTAGCCCCGCCCACCCACTCACCCTCCATTTTCTTAAAGAGTATGTCGTTTGCCAAATTTTGTCTTATCTTAGCAAGTACTAGCCCCACCCACCCACCCTCTATTTTCTTAGGGATATGTTATTTACTAAAATCAGTTTTTTTGTTCGCAAAAACTAGCCCCGCCCACCCGCCCTCTCTTACCTTGTAGGATATGTCATTTGCCACCGTTAGTCTTACCTTAGCAAGTACTAGCCCCGCCCACCCGCCCTCTAGTTTCTTGGAAGATATGTGATTTGCCAAAATCAGTATTATCTTAGCAAGTACTATATTGTATATTGAAGTGGCAAAATAAATGATTAAACAATAATTAAATACTACTTGCTAAGATAATACTGATTTTGGCAAATCACATACCTTCCAAGAAAATAGAGGGTGGGTGGGCGGGGCTAGTATCTGCTAAGATAAAACTGATTTTCGCACTTTTGACATTTTCAACTAGTTTTCAACTATTTCAGAAAATTAGTTGAAGACATTTTTTGTAATTTCCAAAAATTTTTTGTCTGTAACAGTTAAAAGACGATCTGATCCAACGGAAAATAGTTGGCTTATAGATAATTTTTCGCAGATTACGAATCTAAAATATTTTTCACGATTTGTCTTCAAATAACTGAGAAATGCGAGAAAAGGAGTCCAAAAATTCCCAACATTTCCAAAAAATTTTAAACCGTTCCAAATGGCTTTATTTGAGAGGAACACATTGACTTTCTAGTTTTATAGAATACTAATCGCAAATTTACCTCATGAAATACTAACCCCGCTCACCCACTCACCCTCCATTCTCTTAAAGAGTATGTCGTTTGCCAAAAATTGCCTTATTTAAGCAAGTACTAGCCCCACCCAGCCACCCTGTATTTTCTTAGGGATGTTTTTTACTGAAATCAGTTTTTTTCTTTGCAACTATTAGCCCCGCCCACCCGCCCTCTCTTACCTTGTAGGATATGTCATTTGCCACCATTAGTATTATCTTAGGAAGTACTAGCCCCGCCCACCCGCCCTCTAGTTTCTTGGAAGGTATGTGATTTGCCAAAATCAGTATTATCTTAGCAAGTACTATATTGTATATTGAAGTGGCAAAATAAATGATTAAACAATAATTAAATACTACTTGCTAAGATAATACTGATTTTGGCAAATCACATACCTTCCAAGAAAATAGAGGGTGGGTGGGCGGGGCTAGTATCTGCTAAGATAAAACTGATTTTCGCACTTTTGACATTTTCAACTAGTTTTCAACTATTTCAGAAAATTAGTTGAAGACATTTTTTTGTAATTTCCAAAAATTTTTTGTATGAAACAGTTAAAAGACGATCTGATCCAACGGAAAATAGTTGGCTTATAGATAATTTTTGGCAGATTACGAATCTAAAATATTTTTCACGATTTGTCTTCAAATAACTGAATCTAAATGTTACCCTTTTTAAAAAACTTTCTAATACCACCGTTTTTAAACTCTAAAAAGACATGTCAACAAATATGTAATCTGCTCCATCCTTCTTTGGACCAAAATCCATTATTTTGTTGCTTGGAACATAAATCAAGAGTTTGTGATATAATTATTCGAGCAACAGTGAAACCAGTTATTGATAATATTTGTTTGGAACAAACAGACTGGTTGAAGAAAATAACGATCTGTAACAAACCTACCAGCAGAAAAGTTTTAAAATTATGAATATGTACCTTCCTTTTTGTTAAATAATTTTCGTTTTTTAAAAATATATCTATCTTATTTCAAAACTAAATAATATGAGTAATATCATTAATGTTCTTGTGCCATTATCTACACTTTCAGAAAAACGTGATATTTTAAAACGTCATTTTGACAATTATTTGCCAACCAAGTTCATAATTGTACTCAACAGATGTCGTTGCCTGATTAACGATTTTGGAAACGTCAAAGAATCAACTTTTTATACGAATTGGGATGGCCATATGTATTAATACAGTTGGCCGTGCTTCAAGCCACGTTAAAGTTTGGAAATACATGTGCCTACTTGATTCACTCCATTGCACCACGGAAATGCAGCGGAGGCGACAAGCAGGAATAATCTAGCACAATAAGAAAAACAGACATTCAATAGGTGATCCGTCTGAACAGAATTACTGTGCCTGTTAACAAAATATTAAAAAAATAATAATTACCGGATCCATCTCAAAATAGGCCAATTCACCTCCAGAAAGCGCAATAACGACTTGCCGTTGGTTAACAGCACATTTTACAATCATTTTCTTTCCTGGAGCCTTCCACTCGTTCACACGTTTATCAGAACAAATATGTCTGATGCCTCCAGGATATACCTAAAACGAGAAAACGTTACAATTCAAGAAAATCATCGTAAAATATAGAAATGTAGCATTTGTGGGAAATCCAGTAATAAAATGTTATTAATGGTACTATGAAAATGCGTTACTTTTTGACATTTTTCCCTCATTTCTGCACATCATTATAATACAGCCATGATAACGAAATGTCACTTAAAAGTACTCAATTGTACCTGCACTAAAGCATCATCACTGAGAGCAGAGCAAGATAAGGTTGGCGTAGTTCCCAAGAAACCACTGTCTGTCACTTCTTCAACCGTTTCCCCGATTGACAGTACCAAAGTGGCGTTAACGAAAGACACAATAATATAAGCATCATATTCATCTGTAACAAATAACCACACATTACAGGATTTGCACTACTTTTATAGAGTAGTTGATTAAAAAAAATAAATCAGTCTATAAGTATAATCACAACGCATCAGTTGAAACACGGACAAGATTTCATCATGTTCATTTGAATTTTGTCTCTTCTTTTCCGTCTTACTCACCTTATATGTGGTATAGGACAACAAGCAACGCCTCGCCATCTGAAATAAAAAGCACTGGTGTTGAAAAATAATCAACCACCAGGCTTTATTAGAAATTCATTCTCATGAATTTCATCAAATAAAAAAAGAAAAAATACACTTACCGTCACTTCGCCGCTTGACGGTCCACACAGCATTCGGATTGCCTGGAAGTTCAGAAACAGCCATCTCAGACACCTCCAGACCATGTCTCAAGACACGCAATGACGACCTTGGGCCTCTGCCACACAACATGTACAGTTGTGGCGTATCCTCTCCTGCCAAGTCAGCAACTCGACAGGATAATATTGGCGACAGTGACTCCATTTCATCAACGAGTACCAAATTCCGCAGGGAACGAGGTGCAAAGAAGAACGTATCTCCTTCCTCCAACGGCATAGCTGAGCTGAATTCCAATTCGTCGTCATCGTCACCAAGGTGAGCAATCTGATACAAGTAACTAAAATATGCAAAAATAGTTTCATTTAGTTTTAGAGCTACTTCATACTTACTGATTTCCAAATTCTGAAGCAACAAAGAGAAACCCAGTTTTTAGTACACACATTGCAGCTGCTACAGGCACTGTATCAAAATATTTCAATTTGATTTCAGTTACCATGTCTTCATCAGTCTCGAGAGTGATTTTAAAGATGTCACCTTGCTCAGTCTGGGCAAGGAAAAAAAACATGGATTTTGTTTTATGCGTGGCTGAACACACAAATATCATTCCTCTTTCAGGGTCATCCAAATCATTCCTCCTCCTAGGAATAGGGCATCGAATATCATGCTGATCTCCCAAATTCTTATAAGTGAGATAGTTCTCAGAACAAATAAGTACTCCAGAAGGGCCATCATCTCCACCAGGTACAGTCACCAGAAAATTTGCGTGTTCTTCCAAAGGTTCTGAGTACTTGCGTACCACGTGATTTACACCAAGATCAAGCTCATAGAAGGTCAAAGTTTGTTGAGTTTTCTGTGCTGCTTCTCCTGTTGGATCTGAGTCGGCTTCTTCATAGTCAATTTCTAGACAGGCAAACATGGGGTTGTCATAACCAACATCCACTCCAACCATGTGGTATACAAGAGTGTTACTTTTATGGGCTTCAAGTGGAGAAGAAATTGTTAACCTGGCTTGAGCATCTCTGTTCAAGATGTAGGCTAACTTTTGTTTTTCAACTGCTCCAATCATTACAGCTCTTCCTCGAGGATCTGTGGCCAAATATTGGCCAGGTACGATGCGTCTGACGCCTGATTTACCAAATGTTTCTTGGTGGACTTTCTCAAATGCATTTTTTGTGGGGATATACTCCAGGATGACTATTCTTCCAGAATCAGATCCGACTATTACATAATCTTTGGTTCCTCCAGTTAGACGAAATGACATTAATGAGCGAATTACTCCAAAAATTTCTACAGTTAGAAGAGTGTGCACTTTGCCAGTGTTTGGATCAGGTCGCAGAACTTCTAAACTCTTGCCACGTGAAATGACAATTTCTTGCATCTTTGTCCCAGAGAAGTTGCCATGGATGGCGTGGGTTATCGCCGTGGCTCTTTGTAGGGTGATGTTGTACAGATACATGTTGGTGAATTGTGACCCCTGCGAAGTTTGGGTAGTTTAACGAAAATGGACGAGATAGCAAACTTTGATTAAAATAATGTAGGATACTAAAACCAGGCTAGTAATTATTGAGGAATCTTAGCCAACGATGCGATGTCTCCAATTATTTAGCACAGTTTACGACCTGCACGTACTCTATATGTAGGTGCAGGAGATACCATAGTGCATCACATAAAATTACAGTAAAACTACTTCACTTTAAAAAAATATATAAACATAAATAGCCATTGCGAGTCATAGGTTAACTAAATGTATTTACCTCGAAGACAGATGACCGGGATTTCTTCAGATATTTTCAAGTGTACCGGTAGTCACGACGTTCACGTGAACAAAATGTTCAGTTTACATTTTGATCAGTTAATATTTTTTTTTTAATGTGGAACACTCCAACAATGATTTTCTCCCTTCTTTTTACGGTTTTGAAATGGTTTTAAATAAATTAACGGCGGTTTATATCAAAGCTTTGCAAATGGCGCCCGGTCACTACCATGCAACTTCTCCACAAACAACCACCACGCCACAACAGCAACAAACGCAAAACGCAAGTTCAGGGAGACGCCGCGTCATTCTGTCAGAGAGATTACAGTGCGCTTGCGTTATGCTAAATTTTTCAGCCAATCAGAACAAAGAGCGGTGCATTTCTTTGAATGGAGGAAATGGTAACTTTCTATGAAATGAGTTGTACCTATACAGTGTCGGCCTGGCGTGTTTCAGGGCCCCCGGCGAAAACTATTGTCGGAAGTCGGGCCCCCTTCGAATGGTATTTTTTTTTTTAATTCAAATAAATTTTTAGAGAAAATAATGTTTTTATTACAAAATTTGGTTAAATTAATACTTCTATTATTATTAGTACTACCAAAAGTGCTTCTTAATGCAGCCGAAGTAGCATGGCTGTGGTATTTTAAATTTTCATGTTCGTTTAAAGCTTTATTTAAATGTCCATTTTTGTGAAAGATGATCCTCATTGTGTTTTTTCAGCAGATATGAAACAATTGCAACAAAATATTTTTTCAAAACCAACATAATATGAAACGCATTTTCTGTTAATTTTTTCTACCAAAACAAAACTTCGAAATATATTTTTTCTGGAGTCAAATGCCAATTTTTACTTCCAAAACTGGGTTGGTAGATATTTTAGTATTCAAGGATATATTGGGACTTAGCTTTATAAATAAGGTATGTAGTACCATCGGAAAGATACTTGAAAACTCACATCTAAATGTATGTATATCATTATTTTTATCTAAGAATTTAATTTATCAATAGATACAATTAAAATTTTCCAAAATATATATATATGCACTCGGTTATATTAGTCGTAACTGTAGTCGTCTTTACTTTTAGTAAGATTTTCCAATTTTAAGACATTTTCACCGCTAGTACGTAACAAAAGTTTTGAGAAAAATCACAAATATTTTTTTTACTTTAAAATGCTGTTAACGCTAACACTTAAACAGTGTCGTACAAAATTGAATTGCGAATACCATCTGGTTTTAATTTGCCAAAAAGTAACCAGCCATGAATTTTCAGTGAAATAAAATTAAAAAGAAATTCTGAGACAAGAGACTGGAACATCAATAAGAAGATTGGATCGATTGTTTAAGAGTTTCCCATATAACGGTTTCTAGAGGAATAGCCAAAAACAACTTAAAATACCGCAAAAGAGCTAAATGTCCAAAACATACAGCATCGCAGAGAATTCTCAGATGTTGCCGGGTATTGAGAATTCATCATTTTCTGTGCAATCGTGTGGTTGTGCCGGGTGAAGAAAAATATTTTACGTTTGCCAATTCAGAGATGGAACGTAACGATGGATTTTATACAGACAATATAGAAGAAACTACAAATAATGTAAAATTTAAATTGAAGGCAAAGTTTGAAAATAACATTTTAGTTTGATGTGCTATATCTCCGGCTGGCGTTTTAGTACCATTCATTGGCCGTGTTACTCGTGTTAGAGGTCAATGCAGATGTGTATACACAACAATGCCTATCAAAATTACTAGATTTTATAAGGGAACATCATAATAACAACAATGTAATATTTTGGCCATATTTAGCAAGCTGGCCAGGAATTGCTTAGAAATAAATAATATAAATTTTGTACCTAATAAAGATAATTTCTCCAATGTGCCCCCAGCAGGACCAATAGAAACATTTTGGGCAATACCAGTGAGTATAGAGTTAAAAGAGAGGCAACCTTATGGACAAGTGCGGGGCTAATGCTCCGTCTTACCCCTCACTTCACTTCATCCACAAACGTAATAGTGGATAGTGGCTCTCCCTCCTTTTTTCTTGTGAACTACGTTAACAGTAGTCTGGACGAACACCAACTCATCAGACTTGTGGCCAGTGCGATTACGTTAAAGCAAAATAGCCCATCCCCAAATGAACGGTGGACTGGTGAAAGGTTTTTGTCCAATTTTAACCAAATTTCAGCTTTTCTTTAATTATTATTGTTATGATAAGCACATGTTGACAACATGCCAGTAAATCTCAATTTTTGGAGGATGCCTGGTGTATGCGGATGAATTTAATCCTTTATTTAAATAAAAAAATGAACGGCCATTATAGTAGATATAGTTATTATGTTATTTTTATTATTTTTCAGCTTTTCGACCGTTTTATATTTCGATTTCTCAATTTTTCAACTTCTCGATATTGTAATTTTTCATTTTTAAAATTCTAGATTTTTCGATTTCTCGAGTTCTCAGTTGTTCTATATTTTAATTTTTTTATTTTCCCAATTTTTAAATTTTCGATTTTTCAATTTTTGAGATCCCGAATTATCAATTTTTCCATTTTTAACTTTTCGATTTGTCGATTTTGGCCTATTTCGGTTTCTCAATTTTTCGATTTTTCGACTTGTCGACTTTTCGACTCCTCGATTTCTCCATCTTTTGATTTTTCGATTTCTCGATGTCTCAGTTTTTGAATTTTTCGATGTTTCGATTTGTCGGTTTTTGATTTTTACTTTTCGATTTTTCGGTTTTTCTGTGTTTAGATTTTTATATTATTCGATTTTTCAGTTTTCCAATTTTTTTTAGTTTTCGAGTTTTGATTTCTCGATGTGTTGATTTTTTAGTTTTTCGATTTTTATATTTTCGATTTTTCCATTTTTATTTTTTTTTATTTTTTGATTTTTAGATTTCTCCATTTTTCAATTTTACGATATTTTAATTCTTCAATGTTTTAAATTTTAGGCTTTCCGATTTTTCAGTTCTTCAATATTTTTTAATTTTTCAAATTTTGACGTTTCAGAATTTTCAGATTTCCGATTCCTCAATTAATCTACTTTTTTCGACTTTGCTTTTTGAATTTTTGATTTCTCAATTTTTCAATTCTTTAACTTCCTAATTTTTGAATATTTTGTTCAATTTTGTGATTTTTCAGTTTTTCGACTTTTTACTGTTTGAATTTTCAATTTTTCGTTTTTTAAACTTTTAGTTTTCAGTTTTTAAAATATTAGGTTTTTCGATTTCTCGACTTTTCAGTTCTTCTATCTCTATTTTTCAATTTTTGGAATTTTTAAATTTCTGATTTTCCATTTTTTTTATTTTTCGATTTTCCGTTTTTTTTTTAATGTTTCGATTTTCCATTTTTTTTGTGGGTATCGTTGGTGATTTTTAGAAAAAGCGACGGTTACGGTTTTCAGATTTTATTTAGTTCCTTTTACTGTTTGAGAGTGCCAGGGAGAAGAAGATCGAAGGGTGTTTGAATGGTCGACAGGTAGGCTCGGTTTCAAATAGGTGGTAGTAGGTAAAGAAAGAGTTTAGAAAATTCTAGAAACGGAAAGAGAAAGTATAGTGAACCAAGAGTTATAAGGTTATATGGCCATCATAAAAGTAGTTGACGGCAAATAAATACCCCCTTTGTGTGGTTCGCACTAAGCTTACCGGTTGGCAATAAATCATCTTCTAAACATTTCTTGCTCATATTTAACAGGGCCGGCCTTCAAAGCGAGTGGTTATTTCGGAACCCTCAGTGGTTGCAGGTAGTAAAGAAATAGTGGAGTGGTGGATTTTCATATTTAGTGAAAGCCGCCCCTGAACGAAACCACAAGAGCCGGTCGAGCTGCAGTGGACACGTTATTTACGACCCTAAAACCTTTTCTATTGTAAACAACTTAACTTCGACACAATGGGATGATTTTATGATGGCCATATAACCTTATAGCTCTTGGTTCACTATATGTAGGAGCGTAGGGCAGGTAGACGAAAGATAGAACGTATTTACATTTATAGAAAGATTATGAATGCGCTCAGGTAGAACACCTGATTTTGTGGGAACGGTTGTTCCTACATTTTAATTTTTCGATTTTCCACTTTTTTTTAATTTTTCAATTTTCCAATTTTTCGATGTTTCGAATTATTCAATTTCTCTGTTTTTAAATTTTAATTTTTTTTATTTCTTTATATTTAGACTTCTCGATTTTACAATTTTTCGATATTTGAATTTTTCAAGTTTTAATTTTGCCATCGTGGTTTTTCGATTTTTAAAATTTTTCGATTTATAGATTTTCCGATTTCTCAATTTTTTCAACATTATCAGTTTTGGGAACTTTTCAATTTCTTTTTTCAATTCTGAACGCTTAGAATCGACATTGGCATGAGCGCGCTCTGGTCTGTGGATCAGACATGTTCCCAGGCGACGACTTATCAAAAATTGTTATCGCTAATTCTACTAGAAGTTTAATATTTTGTGCGAAAATGGAACACTCGAATGAAAATAATTGCCAAAATGTGTTTGCCGAATTTTATACAGACCGTATGCATTTAAAAAAGCCCTTCACATTTAATCACTTTTTCCAAATGGGGATATCAAAAAGGACAAATTATAACTCTAGAGAATGGTAATTCGATAGAAAGACAGACAAGAAGTGGAATTCCAGCAACAAAAATGGCCCAGAAGAGGAGAGAAGCCTTAATCAGTCAGAACCACGGCAGTAACCATGTATTGGAACATTATAACTAGTAATTTAGTAATATAATAGTGTAAATAGTGTGTCCTATTTTTAACATCCATACTCACTAACCACGGTAAACTTGGAATGCCATTTAGAAATTTTGGACAGAAATTTAAAATCGGCAAAAAGTACGTTACTAAGGGAGAATAAAATCATATTTGCAAAGCGAAAATCAATTCCCAAATGTTCAGAAAAACAAAAATTGGAACAAAAGCAAAAATTAAAAAAAAATTCTGAATCATTACACTGCCAACGTTATTGATGCATAAATGACTTATATAAATTTTCAGTTTATTCCTAAGGACATAAATGTTCCGAACGTCCCTCAACTGCGACCAATTGAACGCTTTTGAAGAAATCTAAAGTGGAATTTGTGTGAAAAATGTAGGGTAGGAACCCTTCACACATATAGAATTAAGCAGTGTGTATTGCTGAAAATTTGGCAGAAAAAAATATTGGCTTTCACAAATTTAATGCGCCGCGCCGTGTTAAAACAAAAATTTGTGAAGCAAGTAGATATGTTGCAGATCGTACTCTATACAGTTGTTTTATAAATGTTAACAGTTGCATTTTTAAT